CAGCAATAAACATGGGGGTACAAGTATCTTTTTCAATCAGTGTTTTTGTGTCTTTTGGGTAGATACCTAGGAGTGGGATTGCTGGGACCCAGAGAACTTTTATTTTGAGTTATATCTACTGGTGTAGAAATTAAAATTCAAAGGGTAAAACATTTAGTTAATTTTAAAATATCAGTGATAGACCCATTATATGTTATAGAAACATTGTGTTAATTACTGTTGTAAGAATTGCTATATAGTTATAATATGTTTTAGCATTTCTATTAATACTAGATATTACTAGAAATTACATACTTTTATGTATGTAAGAAATTATATTTTCCAAAAATAACAGTTGTGAAAAGAGTGACATGGTTGTACATTTTTACAAGTCTTTAGTATCTGACTTACTCAACAACAGATTTACATCCTTCTGCATTTGCTCTGAGTTGATATATTAATAGTTTTGTTTAAAATGGATAACTTATTATGAAATTGATCTTGACCTCATTGAATGCGGACCCCCCTCAGGGGTCTGTGGATGCACTTAGGCTTTGTGACCTGCTGTGCCTCCTTCCTGCTGGCTGCTCTGTGGAAGTGTTATTCTACAGCTGCGGCATTGCATCTGTTAGGAGACATTCTGCCTTTCAATTTTGGTGTTCATGGAAAATGGACACAAACCACAGCCAACTCAAATTTAATTGTCATTTCACAGGGCAATCACACAAAGTCTAACTTGAAATAGAGGAAGAATATTGCTGTGGGGATATGCATGTTAGCCAGAAACCATGGGGCTAGCAGTCAGGAAGGTTAGATGCATGGCCCTGGAAAAACAACCTTTCTCTGGACTTCAAAACTGCAGAAATACTAAGATTCTTCAACTAAAAAAAACCTTGATTTTGTGAATATTAATGCGAGGATGGATGGCTGGGTGCATGGGAGGATGGGTAGGTAGATGAATGGGTGGATGGATGGGTTGATGGATGGATGGATGGGTGGGTGGGTGGATGGATGGATGGATGGATGGATGGATACAGGTGAATAATTTAAAGAACATATTAGGAACAAAATTCTAGCCCTTGAAGGTTTCCTAAAAAGAGCAGGTTTTCTCCCCGTGCAGTATGCACTGCGTATCTCAGGCAGAGAGCCAATGACACCTTTGAGGGTGCTAGACAGGAGGATGTCAAACTTGATGACATCTACTATTCATTCTAAATTTAAGTTTCTATGATTCTGTAGTCCTCTTACAAAAATACAGATATCTGCATCTCTTCCATGTACAATAAATTTTACTCCCACCTGTCTACCATACACATTTTTTTTTAAAGATTGGGGTACAGGCCAGAGGTGAGAGGCTTCACCAGAGACAGAGTGGGGAGCAGAACAGGCAGATCGATGAAGCACACTGCTGAGGGGAGCAGCGGGCGGGTCAGGAGAGGTCTGCCACGCCATGTGGTCACCTCCGGGGCAGGTGGGGATCGAACTCATGCGGAAGTGGCTTTAGCTTCTCAGTGCAGTGCTTTAACCCACTGTGCCACCAGGGAGGGCCTACCATACACATTTTTAAGTGACACCATAAAGCTTGGAATCATCTGCTGTCATTCCCCTAGTTGTCCACTTCCCAGCACCTTTATTTATCTCTTCCCATTTGATAGGAAGTTTTGAGAAAAAGTGATTGAGTTCAGTTGTACGAAGAATGCTTCAAAGACAATAATAAAATGAGATTTCTAATCATGCTTTCTCATAGTGGTTCCCAAATGTTAGCTTGTTTATGCATTTTCTGGAAAGCTTGTGTTAAAGTGCAGATTCTGGGCCCTGGCCTGTGACCTGCCACCAGACTAGTGGCTTCTGCCCCTGACTGCACACCCTGGCAAATGTGAGCTTGGCATATAGCTTCCAACCTTCAGGGGTTGATTAACAAGATGAGGCTAAGATATCCTGCAGCTCCTAAATGCTCTCTAGGTTGTTCAGAAACAGCCAGAATGGCAAGAAGCTATATAGACTGGCTCTTAGTTCTGTGCCACACAGCATAGAAAAAATTTCATTTTTAAACCAAAAGAAACAGGCCTCTGTGGGCATGCACGGGGCCTCAGATGCCCCAAAGCCATGCAAATACTCTTTCTGCACAGGGAGAAATGGAAAATATGGAAAAGCAGATTATGAGTTTGAACCAGAAAAAAGAAGACCTGCTGGTACACTTGAAGGCAGCCCTGCTAAAACTTCACCAGCATTTACAGCAAGAACAGCAAGAATTGGAGAAAGAGATTCTCTTAGCACCAGAAGAGGATGGAGTCGATGAGAAGGAACTTTCAGAATGGCAGGTGGGTCTGACTCTGTTAATGCTGCCTGACCCTGCATTCCATAGGGACTTTCAGGGGGTAGTGCTTTCCCCCAGGAAACCTGTGGCATCTATGTCTGTGGCCAGCGTAGTAAAGGAATTTTAGAAAGTTAAATACTCCATCTGAGATTGTTTACTACTGAACATAAATCTCAGGGTGTGCCATTCTGGACTCAACCCAGAATGCTTCTGCCCGAATTACTTAAGGAGGTGCTTTTGAAATTCCATGAGTAAGTGGGTGGGGACTTCCCTTTGAAGTCTAGTCCTACTAAACAGTCAGTCCATTGCTGAATGAAAATTAGGGCCAGCACCTCTCTAAGCCCCCTCTGAAGCCACATCAATGAATCACATTCTTGAATTGTTTGATGAGGAGCCCAGAAGGCAATGCATATGAAGGGAACCTAAGGTAGGACCAAGTCAAGAGGGATTCAGGGCGGGATTCAGCTGAAAGGTGCAGGACCCAGCAGCTGCTTATGTGGGTGGGCAGCCTGTATAAAGTGAGTAAAAAATTAGCTACCTGAAAAGGCAGTCAGCCAGCAGTCATGGCGCTATTGAACGGACACCCAACAGTGAGTTTTTGTTCTGTATTTTGCAGGTAAACAGAACATGCTCTATGTCTCTCCTGCCAGCAGTGGAAGAGGAGGCTGAAGAGAGCACCCTGAAGAGTGAAGTAAGGAAAATAATTTTCTTATTAACGTTGGTTAAAATTGAAACCTCTAAAGGGTCAAAGAGAAGATTGTAAAGGGAAAACCTAAGAGGTTTAGACGTAATGTAGACTAATGTTGATATTTTATAAGGGAGATTGAAGGTTTTTTTTTTTTTTTTTTTACATTACCAATATTGAAGTACATTGGGATAGATATAATTGATGCAAAAACGGGATAGATGCAATTCAAGTACATCTGGGGGCAAAAGATTTGTTGTCCTACCCCGACTTCTGAGTACTTTGAAGTCTTGAGAATACATTGTTTGGTTGGCACTGCTGGTGTGCGTTAGAGAATTTTATTTCACTACATTTAAATTAATTAAATTAATCTCTGCAAACATCATTACCAAGGACACAAAGAGATGTGTTAGCAACTAAGACTACTTCTAAACCTTCTACTTCCTTAGACTGGCTGGATGAGACATTTACAATTGTCTTTCCTGAGATCAATTTCCATTTAATGCCTTCAAAACTAAAGTTATAATGTGTCTTGGGGCCAAAAAAAAGGCACAGCAATTTATGGTTTTTATGTCTCAATATGATTACCAAATATTTTTCATGCTCAGTTTACAGTTTGTTAAATAGCTCCATTGTCACATAAAGTATGTGGTAGTCCTACTGTGTGTTTATAGAACTGGGGGAGCCTGTGGAGGCATGCAGGCTTGGGTGCACTGACCATCAGATAACTTCCTGATCTGATTATGATCTTCACAGCAGATTGACTTATGAGCACAGAGGAAATAAAAGCAGTCAAAATAGTGCCCGTTGGTATGAGTCTAATTTAAGACCTGAGTTTGCTTCTGAGCTGATATGTTTGTAACATTCATTGTCTTTGGCAACAGTAACAGAAATTCATGTTCATCAGCTGTTATTTTAAAGACAGCATTTCAGGGCACATCACCCCATGCAGATTCAATTCGTACAGCACTCTTTTAAAGATCTTTCTGTGATTTGAGTGGATTCCCAATTTTTAAGAATAATTTTTAGCTTTCAGGAAAATAACCCCATTTGGAAACCTATGACTCAATTAGCCAAAGAAATAAGTGAAGAATAGGGGGGAAGGTGGGAAATTAAGGAATATAATTTTATTGTCTGGTAAACTAAGTCTTGTATAAGAGATCAACAGGAAGGTAGACGGTGTCTTCCTTTGCTAACAAGTGATTACTGTGTTAGAATGGAAACAAAAAGACAGAGCCATCATCTTGGCCTTTACTCTGGAAGCATGACAAGGACTTGGAGGAAGACAGAGCATCCTCATCCTCTGGAACAATAATCCAGGTAATCTGGCCTAACACGCTTGGAGGTGGGAGATGTAAGAGATTGGAAAGCAAAGAAAATACTGTTTGAAAGAATGCTTCAGGAGGACACCTGCTTGGGATGGAATTTTTTAAAGCTTTTCGCAATTCTGCATAAGGCAAAGACAGCCAAGTACTTGCTGCTTATTTGTTTTTCTGTTGTGTGCTCAGCAATCATACACATATTCCCTGAGGAAAGCTCCATATATGAAAGCCCAAAATTTGACAAAACAGATAACTGAAAGGGACACAAAGGCTCAGCATCACCTTTCAAAGAATTTAGCAAGTCTTTAAGAGCGGTGGGGGGTCTCCATAATTCCTCTGTTGAATGAAGGAGTGTATAGGTAAATAAGAAAGTCCTTTGTTTCCTATGGCTTTCTAAACCTCTGGTCTCTCAAAATGGAGGGCAAATGCTCTCAATTTAGAAAATCATTATACGTTGATATGAAAATGATGCTTTTCTCTGACCCTGAATCATCTCTGCGCCATCACACCCATATTCCTCCTTGCACGTGCCTTGGGTCAGGCTAACCCTCCCCAGCTTCCAGGCGGGGTGTTTCCTTAGTCATGGTACCCGCTCTGCTTGTACCTGCTTCTCCAGCCTCTGCTTCTGACAGGTTCCTTCTCTCTCCACCTCAGAATTAGCTGTGTCTCCTCCCCAGCCTCTCACTTCCCGCTTGAGAAAGGAGCCACATGTGCTACAGCCCAAACTAACTCTCACTCTTTCTCTCCCTGATTCATCCTTCCCTCCATGTCTGCCTATAAATTTCCTCCCCATCCACAAAGACCAGTCGCAGCTTCCACCACTATAAGAAACTTCCCAGCTCTTTGCCTTTGTTTTCAACATTCTGCACCTTGGTTACAACTTACTGCATTTTCATGCTTACACCTGACACATTTTCACAAACATAAGAACTTAATCTACCTTCTTTGACTGTAATTGGGTGTTTTATTTTCCATTGCCAAGACTTTGCATTTATTTACTTTTAGTGAGTACCATTGCTTTATGTCCTTCTTAGTATTTTTAAATTATTTAAAAATTTTTAATAATATAATAGTTTATTTTTACATCATTTTGTGCCTTTTTGCATCTCAGTTGTAATCCCCATGGGCTTCCCATCACCAAATCACCTGTGTGCCGTAATCATAGTCCAGTGCCCTTCCCTCCCCATTTTTGATCCCATTCCCCACTCCACCCCCATAAAATGTCTCTGGTATATAGCTGTTCATTATTATTATTATTATTATTTTCTCACCTGGCCCGTTATACTCCTGCTATGAGTGAAACCATCCTGTATTTTTCCTTTTCTTTCTGGCTTATTTTCACTACGCATGATCTTTTCCAGCTCCATCCCTGTTGCTATGAAAGGCATGTGTTTATCTTTTTTGGTTGCTGAGTATAATTTGACATTTTAAAAAAATAATATAATACTGTATTTTTACATCATTTTGTGCCTTTTCCCATCTCAGTTGTAATCCCCATCACCAATCACCCATGTGCCATCACCATACTCTAGTGCATTCTTAGTGTTTTGACAGCATAGGATGGTCCCCCTCAGGTATCTTCTGCATTTTTATGTCCTATGCCAGGCTCAATGTGAAACTTTAATGCATTGATTTCTTAACTCTGTTGTGTTGACTCTGCTTCCTCTTATTTTAGTGTCTTTATTTGTTGCACCCCACCCTGGACCCCTTTGTAAATCAAGGTTTTTGCCCCTGGCTATTCTTAAACTGCCATTTACTTCTGGAACATCCATTCAGTGCCCTTGTTGGTCCTAGGACTTCCTGCTCTCTCCTTTAGACTCTGTCCAGCACATTTTCCATCTGGTAATGCACCTGTCTTCCACTTAAAGTCTGCACTCCCCCATCTTACCCACCTGCAACCGCCTTCATCTCCTCCTCCTTTTATTGTTGGGGTAACTCGGTTTACATGACTGTTTGCACATTCGAAGTATGGGATCCTCTCCCCCCTTAGGTGTTGTTACTACACCATGCCCACCAAGAAGACATTCTCGGCCAGCCATCTTCCACGTGCTCTCTCTCTGGGTGGTGGGCTCCCCCCACTGCCCCTCCTCTGTGTTCTTTCATGATAGTGGCAGCTCCTCCCATAGGTTTGGCAGTCCTCTGTAGTCAGTTTCCAAATCAAATCTCTAATCTGACTTTCCTTAACATCTGCTCCGCATATCTGCCTTCCTGATGACTTCCCCTTGGAGATGTGTTGTCTTCATCTCTGCTCATTTTGCCAACTTTCCTTCAAATCTTACTGATTTCTCAGTTATCTACTCATGTTCCCGTTGTTTCCTCATTTTCTAAGGCATGTACTTCAGAGTCCTCTTAGGTATTTCATAACTGATCAGCGCTTAAGTGATATCCATTCAGTCTTTACATCCTTCTCTTCCCATTATTTTTGTCCTCTTTCTATTTCTAGGCAGTTGTTCCTTCTAGACTTTTGGAATAGCTTCAGTGGATTTAAAACCACCAGTTACTTTTCCTTATACATCTTATAAAGTCCTGTAAGTGATGTCTTTCCTAAAACATTCATGCTAAACTCCAATCTTTCATGGATTCTGATTACCAACTGAATAAAATGCAAACTCCCTAGCCTGGCATAAAAGATTCTTGATGGTTCCAGCCACCTTTTCCAGTTTTATCTGTGCTTCACATTTAACTGTTGGTTCATACTTTATTTTCTTTTTTCAGATTTATTGAGAAACAGTTGACATATATCACTGTGTACATTTAAGGCATATAGCATGATAGTTTTATATATACTGTGAAATGATTACCACCACAGATTCATCTATCATCCATCTTTTCATACAGAAGCAATAAAAGGAAGAAAGGGGAAGCATTTTTTGCTTCTGATGAGAAATTTTAGGATTTGTTCTCCCTAACTTTCCTGTATATCATACAGCAGCCTTAGCTAATTACCATGTTATACATTGCATCCCTAATACTGATCTCCTCTTGTAATTGGAACTTTGAACCTTTGATCGCCTTCATCCAACCCCCACTGCACTTTCCTCAGCACTGGTAGGATCTCTTCTTGATAAATTAAGCCTTTTGTGTTTGCCTTTAAATGTCACATATAAGTGATCTATAGAATATTTGTCATTCTCTGACTTACTTCATTTCGTATAATAGCTTCATGTTCTATCCATGTAGTCACAAATGGTAGGATTCCTCATTTGTTATGGGTGAATAAAATTCCATCCTATATGTGTGTGTATGCACAGCTTTATTCATTCAGTAACTTAAGTTGTTTGCATTAGTTAATGCAAAGAATGCTGCTAAGGTATGCATACATGCAACTGAGGGGTGCACAGGGGCCCAGAATTCAAGGGCTGCACACTCTGAATGGGGGCCAGAATTTGATTCCCACCAGGAGCACATACACAAGTACCTGTTTTCTGATCCCATGCTAACATTGGACATTTTCAATTGTAGCCAAATGTAGCCAGTAGTTTTAGTTTATATTGCATTTATAGTCTGATAAGACTGAATGTCTCTTTAGATGTTTATTGCCTTTTGTATTCTTTTATGAACTCTTATTTGTGTCATTTGATTGATTTTCTATATGGGGTTATGTTTTCTTTATTGATGGAAGAGTAATTAATATATTAATGATAATATGTATTTATTACAGATAAATTTTGTAAGTAGTTACCCCAGTCCACTATTTCTATTCTAACTTAGATTATGGTTTCTTTTCTGGCACATATTATTTTTGTGTTCTTTGTATACTAATATTACTCTCAGTTATTATATTACTCTCAGTTATTGCCATATCTTAAAAGTTCTTCCCAGCTCCTAGATTAGAAAAAGATTCACTCATACTTCAAGGATTTTTATAATATAAATTTTACATTTAAGAATTAAATACAGGGCCCTCCCTGGTGGCGCAGCGGGTTGAAGCACAGCACTGAGAATCTAGGGCCGCTTCCGCATGAGTTCAATCTCCGCCTGCCCGGGAGGTGGCCACATGGCGTGCGGACCTCTCCTGGCCCATCCGCTGCTCCCCTCAGCAGTGTGCTTCGTCGATCTGCCTGTTCTGTTCCCTACTCTGTCTCTCGTGAAGCCTCTCGCCGCCCCTGGGCCTCTGGCCTGTACCCCAGTTCTGTATGCACAAATAGATAAATCTTTAAAAAAAAAAAAAAAGAATTAAATACAGTGAGAATTCATTACTAAGAGTGAGTCAAAGATTTATCAAAGATTTATTTATCTTTCATGAAATACCACTGTCTCAAATTTAATTAATCTTTTCTCCCGTTATGTAAAATATATAATTTAATTTTAATTCTCTTAGTAACCCACTTAGATATATAATTCTGTATATTCCTTATGTGTTCCTTATGAACTAGAGAGTTATGGAGAATTTTTTTCCAAAAAAGTCACACTCTAGAAGTTCACTTTTCTCTCTAATGAACTCAGTTTTTTGTCAGTGTACTTGATTTCTCTGACATTGTTGCAAACAAAGGGTAAAATGAGCATGATTCAGAGGCTGGACTTGCAGGGCAGGAACTTTTCTGCATCTCTTACTCTTCTCATTACAGGACTCAGTTGAGAAAATAAGCATATGTGCTAGTTCCATGGCTCAGCTTCTTGCACCAAATTCACTAAACCCTGAACAAGGTCCAGAGTTCTCCCTGAGTCCCAGCCCAACAGAGCAGGTAAGTCCCTGTCCCTATCAACTCCGGGACCAGATCAGAAGTGACAAGTTTTCTGGGTTTTGCAGCATTTGTTGCATTGTGCAATACCACACTGACAAAGAGTCGTGGAGCAGGCTACATAATGCAGGATGCTGCCGAAGAGCAAGACCCTGGACTTTTTATTGTAGACTAATCACACAGCATTAACCATGTGAGGAAGTGAAAAAGAAAGGGAGAATTAGAAGAAGCTGGGGGAAAAGTGGAACTGTATTTCTCATTTGCTGATAGCTTGGTATGTAGATCAAGCCCTGATTCCCCAGTCAGGATTTCAATCTTATCAATAAGGCCTTCCACTGATCAGCTTCTGGGGTCCTTCGTTATACATCAGTCAATGCCCCCTGGGCAATTCTGGTCATATCTCGTGATGTGTAAGTCCAGGAGTAAGTTTATGCATCCATCCTCAGCCCCCTGGACATTCCCAGTCATACCTCGTGATGCCTACCCTTCCCAGGGTAATCCAGCTCTATGCTCTTAATTGATGTGAAAGGTGCCTCATAGGGTTGGGCTCTTATGATCAGTCACTTCTGACCTTGCTTTAGGAATACAGAACTGTAGGTAACAAAATGGAGGCTGGATAAGCCGCCTAGGATTAGCAGACCCACATGCAGTTCTTTGTATTTCAAGCCAAGAGTTTGCTGTGAACTTTAACATCTTCATATGTGCTGCCAAGCTGGAGAACTGAGAGCTGTGCCATCAGAGACTTACCTAGAAAGCAAGCATGGCACGGAGCAATTAAAGATGCTTCACTCACTCACCTTTTTGCAACGTCTTTCCGTTAGCAATTAGTTCTTCAGTAGGTGTAAGGAGTGGGGGCAATGAAAGTAGAAAACAGTTAGTACTGATTAACTGCTATTACGTCAGACATTTGTATTTGCTGTTCAATCCTTGGGTTAAATACGGCAGCTTGATAGCAGCAGCTTACAAACAAGGAAATAGAAATTCAGGGAATAAAATTACAGCTGGTAAATGGAGTAAGGACTCAAACCCATTCTGTCCAGTCTGCCTTCCTAATTTGAACATTTAGTATAAGAAGTATGAAAAATAAGAGTATGGGAAAAAACCCTCCCTTCCCCCCGAATGCAAAACCATAAGACATTCACTTAAATAATTTCTCCCTTTAGAATGGGGGATATCAGCTAGAGAAAATAGTGAGCAGGGGTGCTCTTGTGGCCTCCCAAAGTAAACCAGCATCACAGCATCCAGGTGGCATGCCTGGTGTGAGTGGTGCAAGTATGTTTAGGTTTTACATTTTATGAAATGTGTGGGAGATGTGCAAGCTTATAGAACTGACTGTAAAATATCAAGGAGTACATTTAAAACATTGGTATTAGGCACGCAGTATAGCTCCAGCCAGAAAATTAGCTTGCCTTGTAACTGCATCCTGTCATTTAGATCAGTGCTGTGTTGGTGTGAAAAATTCACCGAGCTAATGTAGGTTAGCAGAGGGGTGGTGAGATGACATCAGCATGAACTCGCAGCCTCCCAGGCATGATGAAATCAGGAACTGAAGCACAGCTCCACTTTCCAGCTGTGTGGCCATGAGCAACTTGAGTCACCTCCCTAAGCCTTCGTGTCCTCACCTGACACTGGGAAAAGACAGTGGGCTTGTGGCATGAAATGTGAGGTGGTCTGGTGGTCACTCCTAGTGCGGTGGCCCTTAATAAAGCCCAGATAAAGCGTTACTGATTTACAGTCATGCTCTGCAGATGCCATGATTCTCTAACAAGAAATACATGTGCGACACTTCTAGCACCTTTCCTTCCCCCCGAAAGCACAGCCATAAAGCATTCACTTAAATAATTTCTCCTTTTAGAATGGAGGATATCAAAGAACATAGTGAGCAGGGGTGCTATTGTGGGAAAAACTGTGCACTCAGAATGAAAAGATCACCAGGCTCTGTGGTTTTGGACAACCAACTTACGCATAGGCCCGAGCTCAGAGGTGCCCTGTGATAGGGGAGACTGTGAGCTGATTGAGTGGTGGTGTGCTTGGGTTGCTTTAACTGGAAACAAAGGTGGGTGACTGGGTAGTGGAAGATTCCCTGGCACCTCAGCTATTGAAGTTCTGTTGTTGCTAACACTCTTTTTTTCCCCTTTCATTTACCTTTGAATTCTTTTAGGCTCCAATGACTAGCAAATAAAGCCCAGAGCAGTAATCTAGCTTCCTTGTTTCCCTATTAATTCAGTGAGTTTAGTAAGAGCAAAGAAACTTGACACTGTTATTTTAAAAAAAGGTGTATGGCATGTGATAGGGGCACAAAGGCTTTTGAATAAAGAAGGCAGATGGTAAATATGTTATTACGGATAAATTAATTAGTTGATATCAGCAGATTATTGTCTCAGATGGCAAACAATAATAAAATAAAAGCAGCTTTCAAAATCTTTGCCACTAAGATAGAGCAGTAGCTGGAAACTAGAAAACAGTTGACTCGAGGCTGGTGTCCGGCAGTAAAATCATACGATGATTGCTCTTTTAAAAATCAGGATAAAGAAAGAAAATCAAGACAGGGAAATGCAAATGTAGACCTGTGTATGGACAGAGAACACAAGGTCTGGGAAGACTTCCTTGGAAATGTGATTTTAAAGGTAGACTGACAAAGTCAGGGAGAAGTAGTATTTCACGAGAAAAGAACAAGTGTGTGAAGTTAGTAGGTGGCTCAGGGCGACAGGTGCAACCCAGTGATATGTCTCCCAAGCCAGCTTTCATAACGCTCACCGGTGTGTGAGCAGGGAGGGTATTTGTAGACCCTGAGTGCCTCTCCTACCACGTCCCAGGTTTGCTCACTAAAGTTTGGTGTTTAAACAAAATACTAGAAAACGTTGGGAAATGTGCATTTGGGTTAAGATGGGACTTGAGCAGCTTCCAGTAGCAGTGTATACTTTGACCTAAACTGTGTCTTATGAGATGCTAATGTATAGTTAGCAAAGTGATACATAGAAAATACTGCATTTCATCATAATCAGTAAAATTTTTATTGAGAGCAGTAACTTAGTAGCACAAATCCTTATTCCTAAAGAATTTCCCTAAAAGGTTTGGTAAACTCATTAATTAGAAAGAGGATAGGTTAGATAGTAGGAGATAATCTGTCTCTGTTACATCATCATTTTCCTCCACATTGAGTATTTATTATGTAATTACTAGAATATTTTAATTTGGCATCTAGGAGTTATTTTTTTATTGGATCAACAAGCAACCCAGTTAATTCAATATGAAAAGAACACACACCCACACACATACACACATCATATTTTCTTTCGGTTACACCATATATACCTCATCCTTAACTCAATAATGTTTGAGTATCTGGTAAGTGAACAGTAGTTTTAGGGATTCTCTCTGAAAGATAGGAGAAATGTTTTCAGATTACCCCACCAAAGCTTGAATCAAGCTATTTTTAGTAGTGAAAGGTTTAGAAGAGTAATAACATGTATGTTGGAAAAAAAACATAGCTAAAATATTGTATAATCTGACTGCTTGAGAAGATATTAAGCATCTGGTATAATCCTTGTATCCCACCCAGCCAGTATGTAAAGATTGTTTGAATGGAGGGCACAGCAGTGTAAGCATCGCTTAATTATGTGTCATGCAACTTTAACCACTGGCCAACTTGCTGAAATGTCTCAGACACACACCCACACGCGCACCCTCCCCCTGGCACTCACCTGTCTCCAGGGCCCCAGTTGTTTAATGAACAGCAAGCCCATTTGTATCCTCTGTGACGGGAATACTCTACCTGTGTACATGCAGGTTGGCTGCTTGGAAACCTGGGGCGTCAGGTCACATGACTGTTGCTATGCGTTTGGAGGTGCATTTTTCTTTCTTCTCCTGCTTGTAGTTTTTTTTTTTTTTCTTTTAACTGGGGAAATGCACATTCACGGGTCCTTGCAAGCCCAAATCTGAAAACTTTGGATTTCTGACTCTTCACTGCTGGATTATCTTTGGATTTACCTTAGGGCGCCACACCCCCTACGAAGAAGGCTACAGTTCTGGGCTTTTCTGATGAACAAGGAACTTTTGAGGCCACGGCAGAGAGTCCTAGGCCTGAGCCTGCGGAAGTGCTCCATGTCTGCAAGACCCAGGTGGCCGAGCTGGAGCTGTGGCTGCATCAAGCCAACGTGGCATTCGAGCCGGAAACATTAAACGCAGACATGCAGCAGGAGGTGGAACAGCAGCTGGCAGGGTGCCAGGTAAGGCTGATGGGTCAGAGTTCATGGCTTACCTCTTCACCAATCACTTCCAGGATTCAGTGTATTTCTCTTAAAGCAACAGTGTGTTTCCTTCTGTTACTCCAAAATAAAGACCTTTATCTTGGTCTCAAATTTGCCTCCTCCAGGTGATTCTTTGAAATGATTTATATAAGCAATAGTAGTGAGTCAGAGCTCCAAATCCAGCTCTGTCACCTCAACTGTGAACTTGGGAGTGTTTACTTCTTCTTTTATTTTTCCTCTTTTGTAGGTTAGCTCATAGGATTTTGTTGGGATTAAATGCGATCACATATATAATCAGTGCCTGGCATAGAAAGTATATAAATCCTTTTGTAAAAATATATGGCAATTAGTTCTTTGAATATTCGTTCATCATAAAATGACGGTCCCAGCTTGTAAGGTAGCAGAGATAGCATAGAATACTTTGCTGCCATTACCTGGGGCTCTTACTGCTTTCACTTGGGAGGGCAGGAATATAAACTTCCTTGCTGTGAGTAACCTTCACTGGCTAAGCTGGGATCTCTAGGCCCCTCCAGGGAGGGGCCAGCATGATGACATGGAAGCTGCATAACTGAGTGTCAGAACAGCTCTGGGTGCCTCCCCCATGTGCTTAGAAATCAGCCTTAGCCTGGCCTGTCTGCTTTTTGGCTCCCCAAGGATGATACATGCTCTCAGAATATATCACCACCATGCCACAGGGCTCACCTCTCTTAAGAGCCCTTTGTAGGATTAGAGGGAGCCCACCCTTGCCCCAAGGCAGGCCCTTCTCTTTCCCATTCAGACACAGGGTTTTACAAATCCAGCACCTGCCTAGTGGGGGGCCCAAACTGGTAGGCTGATCTTCTTCCCCCAGCATCTCACCAGGGCTGACCCCAAAAGTCAGTTCTGGGCGTGTCAGTTACTCAAATACTGGCACTACCACATGGGCTAGCTGATAAGACATTGGGTGTTGAAAGGACAGTCTCCAGCAACACAGCAGCTATGCCAGCCTGACCTTGTAGCCTTCCAGATGTTCAGTTCTAGCCACTTACCAGTTTGCCAACTGATTTTCCTGCTGATTGGGAAGACCTCATGCCAATTCCTTGATCATCACCAGAACCCCACTTTCTTGCTACCTATAATAAACTTGAGGATTTGGTGCCACTCCAGAAAAAAATTCATAGCCCCAAGATGACCGTAGGAGGTACCCGGCTTTATTTGGGTTTTGGCTGGATGGTGGGGGCAGTCATTTCCCTCGCCCAAGAGACCTTAGAGAGATGATGCTTGGAGGCAATGGAGCCACCACCAGGAGTGGGGAGAGGGCAGGGAGCAGGGAACCCCAGGGGGTATGTCAGAGCATTCTGCAGGGCAGCTGAGGCTCCATGAACTAGAGCAACTAGAGCCCCAGGGTTTGTCTTACCCTGGCTAGCAGATCAGAGGCCCGTTTTGAGTTTGGTGCCAGTGGAGCTGAACTAATGGTCCTGTACAGAGGCCATCTCTGGCTTGGTGAGGTAACACCATGGCGCATACAACTGAAGGTGAAACATATAAAGAGGCTTACGATGGTCTGTAAAAACCCAAAGTTCCCCCAGGGAAAATGTCTAAAGGGCAGAGCAAACAAATCAGTCCAGAAAAAGTTACATTCCATCATTTAATATTTGAGAAAAGTAATTATTCAGCCTTGATTATTACAGGCATGCCAATCAAAATGTTTGACTTGTTCCTACATTACATTGGCAGAAATTATATCATTTTGGAAAACTGGAGAAAAAGATCTACTCATGTTTGCTAGTTCTGATTTGCTCCATGTCTGGGAGATCAGCTGCCAGCATATAAAATATGCATCTTCTTTGTCCAAATAATATCATTATTTTAAGTATACCTTCTGAAAGTAAGCAAAAGAGAAAAATATTGGTTGTAAAAGTGAAGAACTGAAAACAACTTATAGGCTGCAGGTGGGAAATTAAGTGACTCAAACAATACCAATTTGTAGCTGTTCGAATGGGAATCACAAAGTATGTGTAGACACAGGAGGAAATATATGTACATGGAATAGCTAAGTGGGGAAGGAGCCCAAAGCTATAAAATACCTTGTTTACAGCCACTCTAAATTTTGTGAGTTCACATTGTTGAAACTTTGAAAAATCTGTAGAGGATACTTGTAGTTTGTTTGGATGGAGGAGTTTGATTTTGTTTTTAATATTCATTTCCTTACACTACTGTTTACTTTTGAACAGTATTTGATTTCCCCCATAGGTATAGTCCCCGTAGTTCTCCCACCACCATATCACCTGTGATCCATCCCCACAGTCCCTTGTGCCCCGCTTTTTGAGCCCCCCTTTCTCTCACTCCCTGCTGTATGCCCCAAACCTGTAGTCAGCTTGGCAATTCAGTCTTCTCCCTAACCCTTTGTTCAGTGGCCTCTGTATTCCACATGTAAGTGAGACCATCTGATGATTATCTTCGTTCCCTCTGACTTTGATGGGGTAGTTTTAGAGAGATTATTTGAAAGGCTGTTTTAAGCAGAGCTGTTCCCTAAGATCCTCAGTGAACTGCAGGTGTTCTTCGCCCTGCAGAGGGCAAACTCTGTCTACAGAAGAAGAATACAGTGACCTGGCTTACTGGCAGACTTACTGCTTCTAGCTGCTTTATTTTTAGATCCTTGTATAAGTTGGCCAGTTGTTTCAATGACTGTTTTAGGTTCCAAATGATTTCTTCTCTTATTTGTTCTGATATTTTAGAAGCTTATTTGGCTTGAGAAAGAAAATAAATAGAACAGAGGGGAGAATTTTCAAATAGCTTTGTGGACTTCTCTTTTTCTTTTTTTATTGCTATAGAAAAGGACTAGGAAGGTGGGGTGGGGGTGGGGGTGGGGAATGCATACAGACTATGGATCAAGCACTGCCAGTTCATGAATTTAACTCTTTACCTCCTTACAGGATGTTAGGAGTTTTTAAGAGATGGCTGAAGAACATTCAGAAAAAGTCAGGTGCTGGAGTTTACCCAGCTACTAAGAGGCACAGCTGAGATCTGAGCCCACGTAGTCTAGTTCCTGCACTAGACTTCGCCACAGAGCAATGCCAAGTCCTCCAAAGGGAAGCACTACAAAATCATGTATTTTAGATTATTTAGTGGGACACCTACTATTTGGGATTAGTTTGTGGTACCCTTATAGAAAAGCACAGAAATTATATGGAAGTTTTGTTTTGTTTTGCCCTCCAAAGGCCCCTTCCAACCTGTGTTTCTGAGACTCACTCTATATTCACTTAGCTAGAGCGGATAACTCTAACTTATTATGGGAACTAACACTCATTCAAGATGAAAATGATGAATAATTAAATGATTTTGTTTCCCCAGGCCATGCTGACAGAGATTGAGCATAAAGTCGCGTTCTTGTTGGAGAACTGCAAAGATCAGGGCTTAGGAGACAGTGGAGCCACACAGCTAGAGGCAGAAGCACTTTCCTTGAAACTGAAAACTGTGAAGTGCAATTTGGAAAAAGTCCAGATGATGCTTCAAGAGAAATACAGTGAAGACCAGGTAAGATCTGGCCATGTAGAGACATGTGCATACATTTAATGCTTGGTAGACCCATCAGGAATGAACGCTGAGTGGAGTTGATGAAACAGTTGCAGTGGCATTCTAAGAAGCAATTAGGCTACTTACAACTGTAAGAATTTTTGCACTCGCTTTTATGGTTGGTTTCATTCCTGTGCATTTCCTTTCTAGAGTGTTACTGACGGTGTTGACTTGGTTCAGGTGGCTTGAGTGGGTTTATTATTATTGCTGGTAAAAATGAGGTCTGGTATTAACCTTCATAAAAGGCGGAATGTGTTTTAAAGGAATTTTGTGGCTTCAGTTGATTGAAAAGTGAAGTCATTGAAAAGATTAAAATTTGATATCAGAAATACAAAGTCTGTATGTAGGATACTTTTGTTATTCACTTGCAAGTAGTTATATATAATGATCAAAGTATCCTACCCCTAAAGTGTTCTTCTGACTTTAAAAACAATTTTTGTTTGTAAGTACCAATGTGCATTTTACAAGTAAGACCTCATTTTATAAAATTTGCATCCTTAGTATGAAAAGGTGGTTTCTACTTAGAAAAATCACAAAATAAAATTGGCTATAGATAAGTCATGTGGTTACCCTTTCATGCTGAAATCTTATTTCCTTAAAAAAAATTCTACTTGAGTTTCAAGGGAAATTTGAATTCATGAACTACTATTTATTTTTGATTTTTTTTTTCTTCAACGTTGTTCTTAAGAAAAGGTAATAGATTTCCTGGCTTTTAGTAACTCACTGGATGCATTAAGTCAGGGAAATGCTGATGATCACTTCATCAAATATGGTTTTGAAGTCATTATGAAATGAGTACATTAAGTCATTGTATATACTTATTGTAAATAACAAAATATAGTCATTTCTGTTAGATTTTCCCATTATGTAGTCTCTTTATTTGAATTGAAATCAAGTGGGTTAAATTTTATATAAATAATCTATCATGATGGGGTTTTTTGCAGCATTCTGCCATTCTAAAGAAACCTTCAGAGCATCAAAAAGTTCTCCATGCAGACAACCTTTTTGAATTTGAATCAACTGTAACTGAAAGGACACAATTCTGCAGACAAAAAGATTTCCAGCAGCAACAGGTAATTTCAGCCCCTAACAGTTGTAAGGACAAGAATAAAGCTTTCTCCTTGGAATTTCCATTTAAAGAAAACACTGAAATGGAGTTTTTGTTGAGTGGCTGAATGGAAAGTGTGATGTGTGGGTGTTTGCGCCCAAGCAGAGGCTTGGGATTCTGAGCTTGTCCTACAGCACCTACTTTGCCTTCACCCAGTCCCCTTCACTATAGTGGGGGACACTAATTTTGCCCCTTGATGAACTTGCATCTTAGATAAACCAAGAAAATACTTCCTTTTTTACTATTTCATAGTGAAATGCCATTGTTTTACAGCCTTGTTGATTTTTTTGCAATATAGGATTTCTCCCCTCAGGATGGTCATTGCCAAAGTCCCTGTAGCCCTCCACCATACTCCATACTCCAGTGTGCTCCAAGGCTCTTCCCACTACACTCTGCTACCTTTTAACAACCCTGCCCATCCACCCCACTCTCCACCATCCCTTCTTCCTCTGTATGCCACAGATCTATGGTCAGTCTTCAAGAGTTGGTTTTAATGTAAATGACATTATCCTGTATTTTATCTTTCTCCAGCTGGCTTATTTTGCTTAGCATTATCCCTTCCAGCTTCATCCATCTTGCTACAAATGGCATGAGTTTATCCTTTTTGATCACTGAGTAAATAGTCTAGTGTGTATTTGTACCACATCTTCTTGACCTATCTGTTTTTGAGCACTTAAGTTGTCTATAACTTGGCTGTTGTAAACAGTGCTGCAGTCAACATGGGAGTGCAGGGGCTTCTTCAAATTACTGTTTTGTGTTCTTTTTTTTTTTAATTAAAGATTTATTTATTTATGCATACAGAACTGGGGTACAGGCCAGAGGTGCAGGGGTGGTGAGAGGATTCACCAGAGACAGAGTGGGGAGCAGAACAGGCAGATCTAATGAAATAGTGAGGGAAGTAGTGGGTGAGACAAGAGAGGTCTGCCATGCCGTGTGGGTCACCTCCCTGGCAGCATTTGAACTCGTGCTAAAGCAGCTGTGGCTTGCTTCATAGTGCTGCGCTTAACCCATTGCACCACCAGGAAGGGTCTGAAATTGCTGGGTGGGTGGAATGGCTGATCTGTTTTTAGTCTTTGAGGAACCTCCACACTGCTAAGCAAATATTACTTCAGGATAACCTTCCTCTGTATCTGCAATACCTCCTTCCCTGTTGTTTAAAAATATGTTAGTATATTTTTGGTGATTTTCTGTGTCCATATGGACACAACTGTGTCCATATGGACACAACTCTTGGTCATTGTGTGAAATCATTTTTTTTTTTTTTAAATAAAAGTTGATGAGGCCAAGGAGGCAAAAAAGAGAAGTAAGAAAGAGGAATTTAAGAAGTGGTTGAACATCAGATTATCTCGACAGGTTTTGGATACTAACTGAAAGCACTGATTGATTGACTCATTTGAATCTCATTGGATTTTAGGTTCTGGAATTAAAACCTACAGAGCAAAAAGATTTAATCAAGTTCATAGATTGTAATGCTCAAAAAAGGTGGTCCCACTCTTGCCAGCATCATACAGATGCAACTCAGAAGTCACCTGTGAGGTAAGGCTTTTGAAACACCTGAGCATTTAATTGTTCAGTTGGGAGAATTGAGTGTTTGTTTTTAAAATCACTTGTACAACACTGAATATAAATTTTTAAAAGTATACATTGATTATTCTTTTCACGCTTTTGTTTTCCCTTACAAGTAATAAGGCATCCAGCCCTGAAAATGATGCTCCAGACTTGGTTTTGTCACCCCAGGGCCAACGGGGAGATAAATGGCAATATTTACATCATGAACTCTCATCAAAAACTCATCTACCTCTACCTCAGCTTGTGCAGCCTCAGGTCAGTGTGTGTCTGAACACAGGGGAATAAGCATGTTTAGCTTTGAAAATCCAGCCAGTGTCCACTGAATGCATATGCATGTTCTGTACTATGTAGCGATTTGTTTTTAGAAAGCAAAGATGCCACAAGGGCTTTTCGCTAGCTATCACTTTTCTCCATCTTTCTTGGAAGTCAGCACTAGCTGTGTCTCCTTTGTGTTTCTGGACTTTTCTACTTAGAACTCTTACTGCACTGTGCTGCTGCATATTTGTCTGTGTTCCCTACTAGAGGACATGGGCAGATAGACCCTGTTGGCCTGGTTCACACTGAGTGCCTGGAACAGCATAAAATCTTGATTACTATATGTTGAATGAACAAAGAAAATAATATATGTCAAAAGCACTTTATAAATATAGTGTTAATCATTCATCAAAAGATTCTTTGGAATCTGCAGTGTGCCAGCCCCTGTGCCAATGGTGTTCCCACTAATGCACCTTATCATCACTACTATGAGTTTATTTATACTGTGCCAGCTGCTGCTGGCTTTATCTGCAGAGATCCAAGAGTGGGATAGCACTTTGTCAGAGCACTATTGCAAACAGCAAGCAAGCAAGCTTTTGCCTTCAACATTGAATTCAAACTGCCTTGGCAAATGTAACCAATAATTTCCCAATTGGTGGGAACTTTTCAGTACTCTGCTGAGAATATTTATTTGATTCCAGTGAAGTTGACTCAAATTCTGATAGGACTTTGTACTTGGGTTCACCTTGTTATATACACTCTAACATGTGTAGTGTTCTTTTCACAAGCAGAATGGTATCAGTAGTTTTTCTCCAAGTAGCATCATCTGCCACCCTGTTCTTTCTTTTTTATACATTAGTTTTCCAATTGCAGAAGAAATTAACTCTGAGTCATTTCAATACTTACTTTCTCAATAACAAATCAAGGTGCAAATCTGTGCTCTATTCTAAATGTTGGCTATATCAAGAATCTCACTGTTAGTGGGGAGAAAAACAACTAACTTTGTAACATATATAGCATTTACTAAATAAAATGGAAATGATTGGTGGCTTTATTGTGTTTCTCAAATTATGGGTTGTTTTTCCTCATTTTGATATCTAAGTGGGTCTTTGAGTTTATAAGAAAAGCTTACTGTGACTATTCAGGCTGTCCAAAATACTTAAAATTGAATCATTTTTGTATTAGTGAGAAGATAGACAAAAATGGTTACCAAGAAGGTAATTCATTAGCCACATGCTAATGCATTTTTGTTGTTTTGCATGAACATAACAGGATCTCAAACTGCCTATAATAGGATTTCCTTTTTATTCAAATAGGTTGCCACAAATACGAGTATTCTACCCAGTGTAAGTGTGTATAGCTTTAGATACCCAACCATGGAAGAGCTGAAAACCTGTACCATCCACCTTGAAGACTTGCGTCAAGAAGCAAATGACCTTCAGACACAGGTAGCCGCTGCTCTTTGTATCTATTTCCCTCCTTTCACTAACAAAAAAAGTACAGTATTATCACTACAAATTGGCTATAGCTTTCTATATTTAAAAAATAATGAAATAATCAGAGGATAGATCCTAGAATTGCTTATAGAAGTGGTCTCTTGCCAGTACTTGCAAATATGGCTTCTGAGCCTGAGGCCAGGATTAGCAGCAAAGAGGATGGTAATTGATTGGTACTGTCTAGAGCGGGGTTCTGGAGTTGAATGGGTTTGGAAGGGCATGGGTGGAATATCGCCAAGTTTCCAGAAATGAGTGAACTTAATAAAATGCTGGGTCACATTAGGATCCATCAGAAAAGATAGTAGGAAGCAAAGCTCAAATTGGGTGTGTTTTGGCAGGCAAGGCATGAGGCAGGCTCTCTACTGATTCAGGCAGATGAAAAGGAGAATCCTGGAGCCTTCAGTGGCTTTTTCAGGCTTTAATGAACTTTTTACTCCAATTGTGGAGGAAGCTCAAAGGCTGGCAAGGCAGGGATGCCAGGGGCCTGGGAGGCTGGCAAGCTCCCCAGCCCCCAGTGAATCTATATGTTTTTCGCATTGGGCTCTCTGGCATCCTGTCATGGTCTTCCTTTGTAGCCATTCCACCATACCTTCTCTGAGTAACACCACGCTTATGTCCCTGACCTCTTAGACATAAGTGTGCACACTTACTCATGCCCACACCATCCAGGTGTCTACCATCAGGCATGTGTGCCCTGAGCCCACTCTCCCAAGTGCTTCCTGTGTTAGTACAATCAAGGCTGCAGGAGATAGCCACAGAGGCCAGTGGTGTAAAAGCCTGGCCAGTCTTCATTTACCCTATAGGGTGACTGTCAGTTTCAGAGTGCTGCCGGATAATTTGTAACTGGAATCTATGGGTTAAGAAAGAGTTGTTCCAATAGGTTATGCTAAAATAGACCTGTGGCTCCCGAACGCAGGTTGGTAGGGGACACCTGCACCACTTGGGAACCCCCTGATGTTGTACATCGACAGGTGGCCTTAATTCTCACATGAACCTGGCACTCATGGCATCCTGGCTCAACAGCCCATCTGTCTTTAAAACACTGTACCTCTTTTTAATCATGCCCTTCAATTTTCTTGACTTTTTACTTTCCAGGCCATACTTGATTTCATTAACCCCCTTCTACACTTAAATGTTGGGGAGCAGGGAGCAAGGGAAGAGGAATGGTATGAGTCATCTGGGACCACACTTGCACCTGTGTGGTCAGCTCAGGCCTTCATCTCTGGTTCATCTTTTAATTTAACTCCATGAAATAACCATCTAACATTGCTTCTCAAGCTTGTCTCTCTCAGAGTTAAATGCCTTTATTTATTATCTTACCTACTTCACCAAGTGTTTGAAATAGCTTACTGTAAAAAGTATAACATAGACTGTCAATTACAAAGAAATCTGGGACTACATCCATTTAGGACAAAACACAATCCTAATGGTTTGAATTTTTTTTCTCTTAACTCAGGAAAACATGACAGAAGAAACATACACAAACTTGGATAAAAAATTATTTGAACTATTTCTGACCCTCTGCCAGTGTCTTGGCAGTGTCCAGGAGGTACTGCAAACACCTGGGCTCTTCAGAGAGGACATTTGTACCCAGCACACGCACTACGAGGTAGGGAACACCCACTGTGCCCACGTGCTGGCTGTTATGAAGCCGTTAGTTAAGCCAGAACTGAGAACTCTCCCAACTCGTTCACCGAGTCTTCCTTCCTCTCCACAATACAGATGCTGGCTCTTGAGCTAAAAAAACTCTACTTAGCTATGAGTGACAAGAAGGACAATATCTTGAAAGCCATGACTCAGTCTGGCAAGAACACCAGCTTGCTCCCTGAGTGTTTTGATAACCTCCAAGTCTACCTGGAGCACACCCAGACTGCCGCAGCCTCCAAAAGCAAGTCCCTGAAAGCTGGCCTTGATTACAACTGCAGTTATCAGGTAACGTTCTGAGCACTGGCCCACTTTGGCACAGACCTCTCATCTCCATTAATTCCAATTCTTGGCAGCATTCGTTAAAAGGAATAGCTATGGACTGTGGGGAGACATTCATTCTGTGAATCAGTAAGTTAATTCTGCTGTCAGAGACTGTTTGAAAGTCAGACCCATGCCCAGATGTCAGGTATGAACGTGTTAGGATGAGCTTAAGTAGTGATTCCTGTGTTGCATTCAGCCACTCATTAAGTATCAAATGAAATTTTTGAGCAAAAAAATGACAGGCAGTTTCATTTGGCAGATATCTAGCATGGGTTGGAGGAGAGACATGGTAGAGACTAGCTAGGAAGCAAGAGTTACCTAACAAATAAGAAAATAGAACTGCACCTTGCAGTAAAACTGGAGCCTTGCTCATAAAACCAAGCCCGTATCTGAAGAAGCTTCTAGAGTCCAAGTATAATAGACGCAAGGGAGAGAACACGTTAAGCAACATTGGGGTACAGACAGCCAAATCACATGGGAGTCTATAGAGAATAAATGGCCCATTTTTTTCATCAGCACCCTCCCTAAATCCAAGGAACAAAACAGCGATGGAGAAGCTTGCAGATTACACACAACTTAATGAACATATCAACCCATTGCAATCTATTGAACCTTATCTAGATCCCAATTCAAATAAACAAAAAATACTATAAACAATTAGAGAAATGTGACTCCTCTCTGTGTCAGACAGCCTCCCATGTGACCCTCATTAAATGGCTGAATGCAACACGGGAACCGGTGCTTACGAATATCCAAGAATTAACACTGACTTACAGAATTTTAAAGGAAAAAATCTTTATCTTTTAGCAACCCATAGACTGAAGAAACAATATAATACCTGGGATTTGCTTCAAAATAAGCCAAGGGAAGGGAGGCTAGGTACAGTTAAGAGGGTATATGGGAGGATGGAAGAGAAGCAACCAGCCATGAATCAGTAAGTGCTGAAGCTGGATGATGGTAATTCTAGATTCCTCTACTTGCTATATGCTTGAAATGTCTACTAGCACAAAAACTGAAGGTCAACTAAAATTTAAAAGGTGAAGTAGTCTTCAATGAAATTCTCACTGTCTCCTGTTTATTTCCAGAATGAAATAAAGCGATTATATGATCAACTTACTAAAAACAAAACATCTTTACAACAGACTCTGAATGAAATTAGTGGCCAGAGTATTGATGAACAGCTTCAGGTAATCAAGTAAAAAGAATTCAAGCTGATGTAATCTTGGACCAGAGAGTCTTATGTATGTGCCCTGGACACTTTGTGAGCAGTGGCAAGACTTAAGTAAATAAGTAAAAGTGAAAAACCGTTTATGTTAACCTTTAAAAATCCCTAAGTAATCCTTTATGATGCATAAATTAAAAGACCACAGTCACCTATCAGCTGGGCAAAATATAAGTTTGTCCAGATTCAGGAAAAGACCTACCTACCACCTTTGGTAGTGTGATCTTGCAAGGTACCAGCACCTTACGAGTAAATGCTCTTCATCCAGCTGCAGTTTCACTTCATGTATTTAGCAAACACTGAATGAGAACATGCAGTGATCAGTCATTGCTCTAAGGGCTGGACTTGAACTTGTCCTAAGGAAATAAGACATGCATGAAGATAAATATATAATAGTCACAGACACGCCTATTGAATGAATGTAAATCTCTAAATAGCCGACAAGTCTACGGGAAGCAGATGGTTACTAAAGCAGCGTCTGGCCTCACAGTGACATACTGTTTTAAAAGAACCAGACTTGTTCTGGTTCAGTACAGATCAAATCTGTGCTTATTAGAAGAGCTGGTGAGGGAGGAGTGCAGGTTGCAGGCCAGAGCGCTGTGTGAGGGTGTGCACGTTTGCCTGGATTGCTACGTGCTTGGAACTTGTTAGGAGCCACTATCAACTGTGGGTCTTTGGTGAAAGCTGGGGTGGAGAAAGGGAAGTGAGGCTCTTGTTTCTCAGTAATTCTTTGCTCTGCTGTTTCATTTGTTTTAAATGAATATGGACAGTTTTAAAAGGTTTCATTCATTTATTTATTTTTTGTACCATGTCTCGCTTTAGAAAGCAGATGTTTGTACAGTGGAGCTGCAAAACTCTGAAACTCTGGTGGCAAAACTAAGAGATGAAGGGGAGAGACTTCACCTCCCCTCTGTTCTGCTCCAAGAGGTATACAAACTAGAGGTATGTCTGAGCAGAAAACATGTCACTGGTGAGTTACTCTGATAAGGAGTAGGGCTTTTTTCTTCCACCAAGTGGATTATTTTTTTATTTATATATGTTTACATCGTTGTTCATTTTTGTCATGTGTGATTTCTCCTCTGAGGAGAATTTTTTGTCCCCATAAAATTCCCACCACCAAGACACCCATGAGCCACACAGACTTTTATGCTTGTCCTTCCTGTTTCGACCCTTCTCTCTCCCTTCTCCTGATGAATATCTCTGATTGCTAGTTTTGTTTCATTCTTTCTTTTGATCCCTTATATGGTTTCCCGTGCCCTTCCTGTACGTGAAACCATCTGATGTTTTTCTTTTTCCTTCTGATTTATTTCACTGAGATCATCCCTTCCGGCTCTGTCCATGTTGCTGTTTATCCCTTTTGATTGCTGAGTAGTATTCCATATATACTACATCTTCTTGATCTAGTCATCTGTTTTTGGGCATTTAGGTTATTTCCATATTTTAGCTGTAGTAAATATTTCTATGATGAAAATGGTGTGCAAGTATCCTTTGAATTTATGTGTTTTTTGTTTGGTTTTTGATTTTTTGTTTTTTGTCCTTTGGGTGTATTCCTAGGCATGGAATTGATGGGTTATATGGAAGATACATTTTTTTTAATAATTTGGGGGTACTCCACACAGCTTTCCATGGTAGTTGGACCAGTTTGCATTCCCACCAGCAATGTAAGAGGTTTCCTTTTTCTCTGCATTCTCGCCAGTATTTGTTGTTAGTTTTTTAATGTGGGCCATTCTTACTGTGTGAAGTGATACCTCATTGGAGTTTTGATTTGCATTTCCCTGACTATAAGTGATGTTGAGCATTTTTTTATGTGCCTGTTGGCCTTCTGCATTTCCTCATCGAGAGTGTTTATTTCCATGTCAGGTGACTGTTATGCATACCTGCTCTTTGTTTCCAGGACGTACTTGACAGCATGTGGGCACTCCTGCGAGCCAGGTACACGGAACTTGGCAGCCCGTTTTTCATCACCGAGAGCCAGCAAGATGCATTGCTGCAGGGCATGGTAGAGCTAGTGACTATTGGAAAGGAAAAGCTTGCTCATGACCACATACACCAAACCAAAAGTAAAGTGGCCTTACAGGCTCAAATACAAAATCACCAGGTAATACCCACAAGTCAGCCACCGTTGTAGAGTCTACGCTTTTGTGAGAGTGAACAGAATGCACCCTCCTCCTCCTGTGGTGGCACTGTATCTTTTCTTTAATCTTTAACTAATACCCATTAGAGTGTGATATCACTGCCTACCATAACCCTCTAAACCCTGTGAATATGGTCATGAGTGAAAAAATACACATTTCCTTCTTTCATAGCATTTCCAGTTGACCAGGGTGACAAATTTAAAATTGGGGTACATGCTTTCAGAGTATTTAATAGGGGAAATTGGAGGAGGGCAATCAGGAAAGACTTTCCTTGAGGATTCAAAGAAGTATCTATTGAAATAGAAACTTCAAGAGATAAATGTCTATCATAGTGTTATAGGAATTCCTTTCATTTTCCATTTATTTTGTCAAAGAAAAACCTCTTGATCACCAGTCACAGATGTGCAACAAACTATGTATTCGTGATAAAAAATGCCTAAGATGTAGACATCCTGTCTCCATTCAATAAGCTGAAGTCTAGGCCTTTGATAAGTGGATCTTAGTCTAAGAAAAATAGAAAGATAAATAAAGGATAGAGGGAAAGAGAAGACAATTACCTTAATTGAAATCTATTGCCATACCCCATGCGACTTACTTTTATAAACTCTGTTTTTCTCAAGGGGTAGGAGAGGGGATTCATGTAATAAGAAGAACCTGGAGGGGGTCGCCAACTAAATGGAGAGGCGCATTGTGAAAGGAAAGCTTTCCTCTCTAATGATTCTTAAAAGTACTATTCTGGGAGCTTTCATCTGCCAGCACCCCCAATCAATATTTCCCTTTATTATCTTTTTTACTGAGTAGACATTAGAGCCAGCTTTTAAGCACTCCAGCTCTTGAACATTGGGCTTCTTGGGCTCACCATTTTTCCATTCAGTTTTTGTTTGAAATTAATTAGCCATATCAGTATCTAATTTTTACTATTTTTTAAAAACAGAATTAATTTAAGAAGATCTCACTAGGAATTAAAATTGATTAATTGTTCTTTAATGTGTACTATATTGTAGAAAATATTACTTGGGATGATTTTGCTTTATTTGCTAAAATGCCATTAATGGATAAAGATGAAGGAATACATAGTTAATTTCTTCCTTCTTTTTATTTTTTTTTGATTCTATATGACTATCCTAGGATTTTCAATTAAAAAGCAAATTTAGTGGTATCAAAAGTTTAAGTAGCTTTAGGTTTTTAAGATTTTTATAAATCTTAAATATTAAAACTTTCTTCATGTTACAGCTTTTTTTTCAGAAGCTTGTTGCTGACATGTTGTTGATCAAAGCATATTCCAACAAAATGCTTCCTCCTTTATTGCAAAAGAGAGAAACATTTTGGGCTGAACAAGTAAAAGAGGTTAAATTACTAGAAGAAAAATCACAACAACGTGGAATACAGCTGCAAAGTTTGTTGCAGGTACTTGAATTATGTAATCTTTTTACTGGAGCTAGGAATTCCAGATTTTCAACCAACACCTCCAGGTGTCAAAAACAAGCATATAATTATCAGTAAGCTGTCATTAAATGGGGACTAGTAGAGAGGAATGTGGAACCCTGTTCAGGTTCTGACTACTGCTCCCTGAGTGAAACAGCCGCTGATATACTCATATATAAAGGGGGGAGGGGTCACGAGTAGGGGGAGGCGTTAGAGACACAGCATCTTCTACCTTCTAGTCTGTGTATGACTAAAAGACAAGCTGAAAATGCTTTGAGAGCTGGAATAAGACCATTTGAAGTAGTCAATGGTTTAGAAACCATATTCCCCAAAGAGGACAGGCTTAGTAGGTATTCTGTTGCTAATGTGGCTTCATGATAATCTTGTCCCTTTAAAGGAAAAAAAAAACCCTAAATTTCCATAAAGTTCTTTTCTTTATTAAACATTGGAGTTTAGCACTTCATGGAAATAAAAAGCAGAATATATTCAACTTCATAATATAATATGGTATGGTATTATTTTATGCTAATAAAATTAATAATTAGTGTGTTGAGTTGATGTGTGTAGTAATATTCCATGGTACTTAAAAAAGATCCCATGAACCCAGTGAGTTTCCCCAACAGCCAACTGACCTGTTTTAATAGGGACAAATAGTAAGCCTGTTTTTCCAACAAATACTGTTTAGTGACAGCAGGGGAGCTCTGTAGTAAGTGTGCAAATGGCTTCTGTAGAAACAGAAAGCTAAACTAAGATATCATGCCGCCAATGAAGTACAAACCCACATCCCTCAAATCGTGGATGATGCTTCATGCAGTATGGTAGGGCAGGGTGAAGTGTGGTAGACTTGAGGTTGGAGCAAGCAGGGCAGATGCAACTAATGGAGCTTTTACTGAGACAGGTTTTAAAAGTTAGCCCTTTGCCTTTCCAGATAAGAGAGAGACTCACCACAGCTCTCAGGTCTGGACAGAGGTGTAAGCTGAAAGCATCATTTCACCTAATCAATACTCCTTCCTCGATTTGACAAGACAAGCATAATTGTCCATTTGGTTTTTAAACCTCCTGAAAGGTAGTGAATAGTTTGCTGTTAGACCCTGAGCGCTCTCTCCAGGTGGTTTATCTTTCCAGACAGACTGGAATCTTGTGCTCTAATTCTGTTTCACCTCAGAGGTCGGTTTTGTTTGTGATTGTCTCATTGTGTAGAACAGGGTTCCCGCTGATTTTATGTTCTTGGTTCTCTAGAAATGGGAAGAGTTTGATGAAAACTATGCCTCCCTTGAAAAGGACCTGGAAATTCTTGTGCCTACATTGCCCTCTGTGAGTTTGGTAGAAGAGACAGAAGAAAGACTAGTGGAAAGGATTGCAGTTTACCAGGTATTTTGCTTGATTTTAAATCATCGAGGGCAGGGTGTATAGTACTTTGTGTTTTCATTTTCTTTTGACTAAATTGCTTTGACTTTGAATGCTTTGAATTATTTAAATCGGAATGAAATACTGTTCATCAAACCACATACAGCTGGACATATTTGAAGAGACTGCAGACTTGGTCATGAGCTAGGCCTAACTAGCATCTGGCTTGGGGCCTGGGCCTTGTGGGGGGTCCCTGCTCTCCCACATCACTTTCATCATTTTTCTGTCTCTAAGACTCAGTTTCTTTATCCATAGAAAATAGATAATGAAGCTAGTTCTACCTGTCTCAGGGGGCAGATGTCATTGCATGTGGAATGCCTGTAAATATATATTTGGTTTTATTACACCAATGAATCTTGACTGGACATAACCTATGAGACAGATAATAACCTGTTACCTGCCACTAACATTATAAAAGAGTTCCCACTTTCAACTATTTCTATATAATGTTTGGCATTATTATTATCAAAGTCTCTGTGTCTCAGTTTTCAGCACCAAAGGAAAGATAAAACCTTAAAATGTTTTTCAAGTGGCACTGAGAACATACCAACAAGATAAAACAATTTTTAAATCTTTGTAACAGCAATGTAGCATACTTGACTTCAGCTAGGCAGTCAGGTATGAATTGTGTGCTAGAATTACTTAGGAAATACCAACTTTAAGACTTCAAAGGCAGGCTTATTGCCTGAGTGGATTGGATAAAAAAATGAAAGCATGAAATACTTGGCAGGATGCTGCCATTCCTCAGAGGCATTTAAGCTTCCAGAAGGGACATTTTCCAGAAGTTGAATTGCTGTAGTTACACTCTTTAGATGCCTAGGAAGCTACAGTTGATCTCTTGGCCGCTTTATTCTATTGAGCTAACCTATAAGGTAAGTACTCTGGGGTCAGGGAACTGTTGTTCAAGCTGTATTAGCCTACAAATTCAGAAAGTACCACCTGAACTGCTAAAAAAAAAAAAAAAGTAGTTTAAACAGCATGTTAAACCTCATAGTAAGAAATAATTCATATTAGCTATTTTGTTATAAACCTGTTTCTCTGATTGTTTCTCTAGTGATTTCTTACTGCTTTTAGTCTTAGACATAATATTGTTTATGTTGATTATCAATGAGACAGACACACCTGAAGTTTACATAATGTTGCATTGTTACTTCAATAATATATAAACCTAAAGAATAATCACTTGCATTAGCTAAATTGATATAAGCCTGATTATTTCCCCCAAGTTGACCATATTCCTTAAATATGACACTGGGATTCTGTTAAATTTCAAATTTCTTTAAAAATGAAATGATTGGTCTAAGACTTTTCAATAAAATTTCTATTTTAAAAGACAGGTAACTGATAAAGTCTATCTCACTTAGAAACGCTTCTAGGCATCTGTCAGGCTGCTGTGTCATAGAGAAGTTTGTGTGTCTTGATTCTGGGTGTCACTGGGCATAAACTGATGGGGTATAGGCTGCTGGGTGTGAGCAAGCCCACCTTCCCATGCTGGTGTGGCTCTCAGGGGCTGAGTGAGCCAGGCCTCTGGCCCCTTGCTTTAGAGTGCTTGAAAGATGAAGGGTCTCACTCACATTGGAGGGTTAGAAAATCAGACATTTTTAAACTGACCACTAGTTATTTTATTCCACCCCACTGACTTAGGTTGGAGGAAGTGGTTATAAATGGGAGTTGAAAGTGAAAATTTTTAGTAATTTTTGAAAAGGCTTAAGTTAATTGGAAAATATCACAAGTTCTATTTTTACCATAATTTATTTTTAAAGATTAAATTAGTTGTCAGTATAAGTGCCACTAGCTAAATCCAAATGTGGAAGATAATTGCTGTTAAGAGTTCTCTTCAGGGGGTCATTGTATTCACCATTTTGGAGAATTTTATTTTTCCTTTTGCAAAGATGGGTTAATGATGTCCTATCTATTCTAACTTATTCTTCTGAAGTTTTTTTTTTT